TCTATCTATCTATCTATCTATCTATCTATCTATCTATCTATCTATCTTTTCTTTCTCTCTCTCTCTTTCTCTTTCCTTCTCTTCCTTCCTATCTTTATTTTATTTTATTTTTTAGGCAGTGTCTCACCATGTAAGTCTTCTTGGCCTGGAACTCACTGTATAGTTCAGGCTAGCCTGGAACTCACAGAGATTCCCTGCCTTTGCCTCCCAAATGCTAGGATTAAAGGCATGTTAGAACTCACCGTAAGCCCGGGCTAGCCTTTGATTAGCTGGACTATTGCTGTCTTTGCCTCCCAAGTGTTGAGATCACAGACAGGAGTCACCAGCCCTGCCGTCTGCCTTGATACACATTCCTTCTGTGGCCCTAGGTCTGGAGTGTGACTTGGCCCAGCACCTGGCTGGCCAGCATCTGGCCAAGGCTGTGGTGGGGAAGGCGCTGAAGGCCTTTATCCAGAACCCGGCCCCCAGCAAACCACTGGTCCTTTCCCTGCATGGCTGGACAGGCACCGGCAAGTCCTACGTCAGCTCCCTGCTGGCACAGTACCTCTTCCAGGGCGGCCTCCGCAGCCCTCACGTGCACCACTTCTCCCCCATCATCCACTTCCCACATCCCAGCCACACCGAGCAGTACAAGGTACGGTGGGTGTGTCTGGGTCCCTTTCCCAGCCCTAACCCGGAGAGGGTTCCAGACCACACAGGGCTCACTGTGGTGTCATGGAGGAGCTTGCTTTCTCTGATACTGGAGAGGAGGCATCAAGAGAGATGTAGGGACTCACAGGGCAGACAGTATAGAGTATCTGTGTCTGCATTATTGGGGTCCCCTTAGCTCTTAGCCCCAATTTGGTGCCAGCTCTGATTACTGTTGCTCCCGAACCGTCTTAGCTGTCAACACTGTGGGGCAGGTTCAGCTTCCCTGTCGTACAAATCAGTAGCTGTCATGAACAGACATTTGGGGCACTGCTTGCCTGTTAACTGGCTGTGTGACCTTGGACAAGTCTCGGAACCTCTCTGGGCTACACTTTTACCATCTGCCTCAAGGGGTTGGTGTTCTCTGGAAACAGATCATCTTTCTGGGGATTTTTTTTCTTGGCTTGGGAAGAAGTTTGGGGTTGGGGGCAAGTCTTAGACTTCTTTGGAATTCCTGTTTCTACCTCCACAGAAGGAACTCAAGAGCTGGGTCCAGGGGAACCTCACTGCCTGTGGCAGATCTCTCTTTCTCTTTGATGAGGTGGACAAGCTGCCCCCTGGCCTAATAGAGGTGCTGCAGCCCTTCCTGGGCCCCTCCTGGGTTGTGTATGGGACCAACTATCGCAAAGCCATTTTCATCTTTATCAGGTAGGTTCAGCATGGGAGCAGGCACAGTGGGGACATTGGTCAGAGGGTCAGCTGTCCAACTTGGGCCTGTGCTCCCAGCCCCTCACACTGTCCCTGGCGACTGTCATCAAAGGTGGCTGACTTCCTTTAGACATTCTCAAAGCTCTTCTGGGCTTTGACTTTTAGATCCCTGCTGCTGTGTGGAACCCCTGCCTGGCCATCCCTTTTTGGTAGCTGAGAGGACACAGGCCTGGGAGAAAGGGACCAGTGGCCCCCAACCTTCTAACCCCAGCCCTGTTCCCAAGCCATGACTCTGTAGGCCAAACTGCTGAGTCTCTCTGAGCACCGTCCTCTGCTTCAGAAGCTCGATCAGTGCTAATGCCCCACTGGCCCCTTGGGGAAATACATAGATCAAAGGACGCTGTAGCCTGAGTGTGATGGCGCACACTTGTAACCCAGCATTCTGGACCCAGTCAGGAGCAAGACACTGTGCCAACCCCACCTCCCGTTTGGTCTGTGAATTGCAAAGTGCACGGCACATGCATGCTACAGAGACTTGGTTGTAATAGGAACTGGGAGGAGGAGGATACGGGCCACTTTGCTTACTGAGTCATGTTAGGTGTCACCCTCTAGTGCCTCAACGAGTCTCAGCCTGGGTGCTTGTGATTTTAGCAACACTGGTGGTGAGCAGATCAACCAGGTAGCCCTGGAGGCATGGCGCAGCCGCAGGGACAGGGAAGAAATTAGCCTGCAGGACCTGGAGCCAGCAGTCTCCCGAGCTGTGCTGGACAACCCTCACTGTAAGTTGGCTCTGGGACATCCTCGTGGGCTGGACCCGAGCGTCCCAAGCGTCGTCCATTGAACCGTAGTTGTCCCCCAGGCCCCTGCACACCCCGCTGTCACCTGAGCGGCAGAGAAATGGCCCCACTCAGGCAGCTTGCACCCCACCCCATGGGGCATGAATTCCCAACTTGAAAAGCTCACCAGGCTTCCATGCCTACCTGCCCTTCCTGCAGATGGCTTCTGGCAGTCTGGCAACATGGAGGAACACCTGATCGATGCTGTGGTACCCTTCCTCCCCCTCCAGCGGCATCACGTGCGCCACTGTATCCTCAATGAACTGGCTCAGCTGGGCCTGGAGCCCCAGGAGGAAGTGGTTCAGGCTGTGCTGGACAGCATCACCTACTTCCCAGAGGATGAACAGCTCTTCTCCTCCAACGGCTGCAAGACAGTGGCCTCCCGAGTCACCTTTTTCCTCTGAGAACCCAGGAGGCATCACTGCCTCCTCTGTCTAGACAGAACAAACAGGAAAGGCCTGGGTGTCTCCTGAAGGGGTTCTTTCCTAAGCCGGCTGGCAAGTGGGGCCTTGAGCACAGAATTAAGATGAAGAAGGGTGTTGGCCAGGCCAAGGAAGAAAGGCCTAGAAGGCATTTTCACCAGGAAACTCCTGGGTACCCCAGAACCTCACAGCCTTGCCACTGCCCTGCAGCCTGAGCCTTCTCAATGTGAACTGTGACTCAGGGATGACGGCTCGCCGCTGCTCCCATCCAGGGCTTTTACCTGCACACCTTGCCGGCCGGGTTCCACGCGAGATATCAGCCTGTGGCTGGACCTGGAAATCCAGCAAGGCCAGACTGGAACGTGGCCCAACAGTTGGACCAAATGGAGGGACTCTAGCTGACACCTGGGCCTGGATTTCAAAGTTTTTAATTTTATACAAGAAGAGAACAGGGTTAATAAACGTAGCCATGGGATCGGAACATTGACGAGGGTTTCTTGTTGCCCTTGGAGGAGGCAGCTTTTCTGAAAGCTAGGGTGTTGGGCAAAATCTGTCCTCCCCTCAGTGAGGCCTTCTCATTGGCCCGTTCAGGGGACAGCAGATTGGCTAGGGGTGGGTGAAAGCTCTGCCTTGCTGGAGCTCAGGTCCCCGTCCTGGGGATCCTGCAGGCTCGGCTCGTCGGTCTTGCTGGAGCTTGATGCGCTCTCACTGGAGCTTGAGGTGTCCTCAGAACTGCTGGGCCCTGAACTCCGGTCCTGGGTCTCACTGGAATTAGTCCCGCTTCCGCCATGGGAAACAGTCTCGCTGGACGTCTTTGTTGGCTTCTGGCTGTGGCCCTGGGACTTGGGTTTCCAGCTCTGGGCACGAATAGCCTTGGCTCTCCTGAGCCTCTGCTTTGGGGTCAGGGCAGGCCTTTTCTTTCTAGGCTTTGGACCCTCAGTGGCTTCTGTCACGCCGGATTTCTGTCTGGGGCCTTGTCTTCCTGGACGTTGGGGAGGCTCTGTCTTCCTAGGCTTTGGCTTTGGGCTTTGGGTGGCTTCTGCCTTGTTGGAGTGGCGTCTTTGACCATAGGCTGGTGTGGTCTCTAACAAGTTCTGGTTTAGGTTCTCAGAGGCCTGGGTGACCTTGGGGGCCCTGCTTAGGCCTAGGTTCTCCCTGTTCTTCCTGGGATCTGAGGACTGAGGCCTTGAGTGTTGAGGCGACATCACAGCCGTGTTGGACGTGCTCCTGTACTCCTGACTGTCTGAGGGCTCTATTCCCGAGGTGCTCAGGCTCAGGACTGGCAAAAAGTGGAGAGCGGCTGTTAGGCCTGCCTGCCTCTCCAGACAGCTCCGGGAAAAGGGGCTTCCAGGCCGCAGCTGGAGGCTCCCACCTCCTCCATGTGCCTGGGCTGTGCACAGGGTGAGCAGCTGCCTGCACACTGCTGACCCACCCCAGCCCTGTTTTCCCACCAGACTCCGAACTCTGGCCCAGCAGTGCCCTGCCCATCCCTATCCCCGCGTATACACAGCTACCTTCTGCCCTTCCTTCAGCTCCTTGAGGTCTACCTTGAGCTCTTGAAAGGTCTAATCACACCCCTGCCCTCTGAGCCCCAGTCTTGTGCGCTTGGCTGGCTGTTCCCCTCGCTGACTTAGGGTTCACATCCTTAGACAAGGACTGGGCCACTTACCCATCACCAGTGGTTAGGCACAAGCCTATCTCAGGGCACCTGGAGCATCACAGAGCGGTTTGGAGATGATAACCAAATGGAATAAAGGGGACTAATTCTACCACCCTGCACCAAGGAGCAGTGGGGACAGCCCTTTCTGCTTCTACCACCTCACACCAGGGCTCGTAGGGAGCGACTTTCTTGCTTTGCCCTTTCATCCCCTCTTAGCTGCTGATAGAAAAATTGGGAGTCAAAGCCTGTTGGGTATACATGAGGTGTGTGGCTTAGTTCAGGGCACAGTAAGGAGCAGAGAGAAAGGGCAGGTTTTGGAGGGAGAAGGGGGTGACTGGTCCCTGCCCTGTGCTGGACACCATCCCACTGAGTCCTTACACATGCTGTGGAAGGTGGGAACTGCAGGGTCAGAGCTGTCCAGGGCAGAACCCAAGCTTCAGCACTTGACCTCTGACCTCTCTACTGCTTTGGTCTATTGGGCTGAGCAGGAGCTTCAAGGACTTACTGCTGAAGACTGAGCCCGAGGAGGTCTGGTCCACATAGCTGTCTGTCAGGGATGTCACCTTGTGGGGCTTCACCTGTAGCAAGAGTCAAGCTGGGGGAGCTACAGATTGGGAGATCCTTGCTGCACCCACAGCTATGTGTCTGGAAGGTCACATGACAGTCCAGCCATCTCTCCCCCCACACCCCCAAATAGGGTTTCTCTGTGTAGCCTTGGCCTTGAACTCAGAGAGCTACCTACCTCTGCCTCCATATTGCTGGAATTAAAAGCATGTGCCACCACCACCCGGCTTATTTTCTGCTTTTTTTTTTTTTTTTTTTAGATTTATTTATTTGTTAAGTATACAGTGGTCTGCCTGCTTATGTCCCTGCAGGCCAGAAGAGGGCAGCATATTTCATTACAAATGGTTGTGAGCCACCATGTGGTTGCTGGGAATTGAACTCAGGACCTTTGGAAGTGTAGCCAGTGCTCTTAACCTCTGAGCCATCTCTCCAGCCCTTATTTTCTGCTTTTTAAAATGTGTATGTACAGGGCTGGAGAGATGGCTCAGAGGTTAAGAGCATTGCCTGCTCTTCCAAAGGTCCTGAGTTCAATTCCCAGCAACCACATGGTGGCTCACAACTATCTGTAATGAGGTCTGGTGCCCTCTTCTGGCCTTCAGGTATACACACAGACAGAATATTGTATACATAATAAATAAATAAATAAATAAATAAATAAATAAATAAATAAATAGAATATTTTTTTAAACATGTGTATGTACGCCCTGCGGTGGTGGCACACACCTTTAATCCCAGCACTCGGGAGGCAGAGAGAGGCAGGCAGATCTCTGTGAGTTTGAGACCAGCCTGGTCTGAAAGAGCTAGTTCCAGAACAGGCTCCAAAACTGCACAGAGAAACCCTGTCTGGGGGGCGGGGAGTATGCGCAAGGGATTGTGTGTACACAAGAGTGCAGGAGAGGGTGCCAGATAACCTGGAGCTGGAGTTCCAGGCAGCTGTGAGCCGCCCACTGGGAGCTGGAACCCACACTCAAGTCCTCTACAAAAGCAGTGTTGACTTTTAACCGCTGAGCCGTATCTCCAGCTCTTTCTCCACTCCAGCACTCTGTCTCCCTAGCTTAGAGCTCCTCACACTCTGGGATGGATGGGGGCACCCAGGGGCTAAGACTGCAGGGGGGGGGTAGAACATTGGTTCACATGGGGCCAGGCTTCTGTAAACTGAGCCCTGCGGGGTGCATGTTGGAGTTGAGGAGCCTCTGTTTCCCACATCCCATTCTTCCATCCACCCAGGGGGGATGCTTCTACTACAACTATTTCTCTTTTCTTAACGTTATTTAATGATTTATTTATTCTTATTTATGTGCACTGGTGTTTTGCTTGCATGTATGTCTGTATGAAGGTATCAGATCTCCTGGAACTGGAGTTGCAGACGGTTGTGAACTACTATGTGGGTGCTGGGAATCGAACCTGAGTCCTCTGGAAAAGCAGCCAGTGTTATTAGCCACTGAGCCATCCCTCCAGCCCCACAATTATTTCATAGTTCAGAGAACAGAGCTCTGAGTACACAAGCAGCCTGATGGGGCCACTTGTTGCTGGGGAGAGAACAAGTTTTATATCTAGCAGGACTTGTGGCCTCCTCCACCCACAGGGGCCACCTGTTGGTCATCCCTTGCCCTGGGGCTTTCCACTGTACCCATGTGAGCATTTCCCACAGACGACAAGTGGGTACATGGATGCACGTCTCTTCTCCCTGTTTGGGGAACTAGGAAGGACATTGGTGCCACACTCACGACAGCTGCACATCTTTGAATACAGCCGTACTTCATATTTGTGGGCAGTAAAACTGGTTGATAGACCAGGTGAGCCATTCCTTAGGCGAACTGTATAAAAGGAACCAGAGACAGGACAGCAGGCCATACTTACTCATTTAAAAAAAAAAAAAAGGATTTAGGAATTGGAGCAGCCTTGTGCAGAAGTGGGGAGGGGGCAGGGGCCAAGGAAGATGCATGCACAAAGGGCCTTGTGGGAGCTGAGAATGTGTTTGTTCACCTGTGTGATGAGGCCATGGCAGACTAGCCCTTCATTTAAGACTTGTACACTTGAAACTGGGTGTGATGGTTCATGCCTGTAGTCCCAGCACTTTGGAAGCTAAGGCAGGAGGATTGCTGAAAGTTTGAAGCTAGCCTAAGCTACATAATGAGTTCTAGGCCAGCTGGGCTACATAGCAAGACACTGACTCTAAAACAGACTGGGGACCAGGTGTGGCGGCACTCACCTTTAATTTTAGCTCTAGGGAGGCAGAGGCAGGCCACTCGCTGTGAGTTTGAAGGCAGCTTTGTCTATATTGGTGAGTTCCATGCTAGCTAGGACTATGTAGTGAGAGCCTGTCTTGAAAAGCAATAATAACAGGCAGGAAGAGAGGTCAGGAGATGAGTGCTTGCTATGTGCGTGTGAGCCCTAGCTGAGACCCCACACCTACGTGCAGTCTGGGGACGATGGCTATGTGCGCCTGGAGCACCAACACTGAGGCAGTGGAGACGGGACAGCTTGTAATCAATAATACCGGCTCACAGGGCACACACACCTCAGCCCCTTATCACTCCAAGTGCCTTTTGCGCGGTAGTCCAGCCTTCCTGAGTGAGTGCCCAAGAATTTCTACAGTGAACCTAGCACCACTACCCTCTCCACCTGCATCCTGCAGCTCCTGCTGCATCCACCATCTCTATGGGGGATCTGAGCCAGGTGTGGTGGCGCATGCCTTTAATTCCAGGACTTAAGAGGCAGAGACAGGCAGATCTGTGAGTTTGAGGCCAACTTGGTGGACAGAGCAAGTTCCAGGACAGCCAGGCTGTACAGAGAAACTTGTGGGGTGGAGGGGTAGAGGGGAAGCAAGTCTGACCATATCGCTCTCCTGCTGAGAAAACCATCACAACCACGGGCACTCCTGCTGTGGCTTCCCATCCCAGGTGTGGTCAGCCACACAGACTCCAGGGGTGTAGGCCCTAGCGTAAATTTCACTCACCTTTTTATCTGCTCCCCTTCTCTTGAGTTCAGTCTTTACTTGCGAGGTCTGAGAAGTAACCAGTTCCTCTTCCAGGTTCTCCGTGAAAGAATATTCCCGATTCCAGGACTCCATCAAGGCTCGGGCTTTCTGGCGTTCCATTAACCTCTGCCTGTCAAGTCATGGTCCCAGTCCTGGATCAGTCTCTGGAATTCAGCCTGCTGTCCTTATTCAGACAGTTCAGGCCTTGTGAGGAGTTGTGCGTCCCCACCTGCCTCCCACGGCTAGCCAGAGGTCCCACAAGCTTACACCACAATGC